CCATAGATCCCAAGCATTAGTCGAGCGCGCTAATCGAACCATTGCAGAGAAACTATTTAGTCATCAGTATGCAAAAGAAATGATTATGGAAGGAAATGAACGATCCCGTGAATGGGTTGAAAGGCTGCCAGCTGTCATACGTGGTATAAACAGTGGTGTAAAGAGAATAACTGGAAAAGCACCTATCGAAGGAATAAAATTGAAAGAAGTATATGAAAACCATGTTAATTACGAAAGACCTGTTGGATTATTAGAACAAAGATTACCAGCAGGTGTGAAAGTCAGATATCTTTATCAACCTGGTGAGTTGGAAGGTGGTGGTAAAAGAGCAACAGATCCTGTATGGTCATTGGAAATATATGACATATCGAGAACTGTCGTGTCAGCTAATCAACCTGTATTGTATTACCTCTCTGATGGTGCACCGAAAAGAAATTTCGTCAGAGAAGAATTACAAGTCGTACCTGAAGATACTATGCTCCCACCTATCCATCTATAGTAATGTATTGTAGACCGGCACAGCTGTGCCGTGACGTCACAACTTTTGAGATCTTACTTCGATAATTTTTTCATTACCAACTTTTGTATACCAACTTTTTTAATATGATTTGCTCTTCTTACTTGGTTTATCGACTTTCTGTGAAGCTATCCTATCATAATGATCAATTACACCCTCATAACGTTTTACGAGTTCACCTTTTTCATGATCATATAGTCATTCATCAATATTTCTATAGCCTATAGCCTTAGTACTGATACCATCTGATTCTATTTCTCTTTTATCATCATCCCTCGATAATGCTACTTTGTTAACAGTTTCCGTATATATTTGATGTTCATGACTCCTGATTACATTCATCTTCCTCATAATTTGCTGCCCCTCAAATAGACATTCCTTATAGTCCTCGAATGATATCTCCCCTTTAACGACTGACCTTTTAACACCCTTACAACGTTTTGCTTCTTCAATATCTGTTTTATAAGCGTATAACTTAGCTCTAAGACCTACAAATTCAGTAATCTCTTGACCTGCTGTCTCATCTTTCATCATACCAATAACCTTTTTATTAACCCTTTGTTTTACTCCTTGGTGATCTTCTGGATAATTACTCGTATCAAACTTTGCCTCGATATCTTTCTTAATATCTTTATAAAAGTCATCTGTTTCAATCTCATACATAAGACTGTCAGTATCTGTGAACAGTAGATTCGATCTATTACCATATTTTGGTTTTATATAATTATATTGAAAGTCGTACATCAAATTCTTCGAAAGATCAAGGATTGACATACCTACGTATATAGGTTTATTGAAAACTAACTCTGTCTTACCCATATGAATAGCAGCTAGATTTTCTGAAAATATCGTCCTTTTCTTATAATTGGGCATATTAATTAATTTCGCTGTCTGTTTTTCATTTGTTACTAGTCTAATATCCTGTCTGTTACGTATGTTCTCCATCGTCTTCCCAAAGACGCTATTGTTCATCAGTTTGAAAAAGTCTTTTTCGAAATCATTTTTAGCCTTTGTACGGAGTTCTGTGTTAAGACTAATATATTGTTTCAACCACTCAGACTCATGAAATGTAACACCTCTGTGGATATTCGTTATTTTCAATCCAAGGCTTTCATACAATTTCAACGTCTCATGATGTACTACATATTTAGTCTTATCAGCTAGGTTAGGAATAAGTTTTTCTACTCTATTAATCATTAGTCTCTCAGGTGCTAATGGGTACTCATTATGAAGATTATGCAATTCAACTGGATAACCTAAATCTACTTCTAGGATGCATGGGTGTTTTCTCCAATTCTTGAGCTCTAGTTTATTCATCCATTTGAACCCGTGGGATGGTAACTTCTGTGACATAGCCCATCCGTATAAATTATTAGCATCTAGGTATTTGATGAATTTCGACTTTTCCTTATTATTGAACGATTTCATGTATTTGTTATTAGCTTGTGCATAACGTTTACTAATCATTGAGATCCCTCCTCTTATTCCAGATTCTATCATTAATAGCATTTCACTATCTGACAACAACTCGAGATTAATTTTCATCTTTTTCAGCATAGCATCCCAAGATAGTCCCGGAGCTGTGTAATACCAACATGGGTCTAACTTATAATTCTCCATACACACATCTCTGAACGCCTCAAACACATCAGCTAATAGGATGACATCACTCTTAAGATATAAGTCATGATACTCTTTCATAGATTTTATTTTGAATGTTTTCCATATTTCTTGTGCATGTTCGTAATCGGTTATGGTAGTTGGTGTATTATTCAACTTGTTAAAAAATGCTTCTATCGGGGGTAGAGATGTTTCATTTAATTTATCTAATGTACTAACATAGTCATATGGATAAACACCTTTTCTAAGTAATAGATCAAGCTTTTTACCCTTATAGAAAAAATTCATATTCTTACACTGTTTCTTCTCTAGATTGCTAACTAATGAATCTAGACTTGAGGCCATAAATTTTAAACTGTCAATGAATCTAATCTCACGTTTAATGTTAACRACCTTACCACTCTTGTCTTCAAATGTATCTACTATTATCTCCTTTTTGAAACTAATATACTTTTCTTCGTTGTTGGGAATACAATCTATTTTCCCTTCTGTAGAACCTAGATTTTTGATAAATAAATGCGCATCATAACCCGCTAAATTATGGAATATCACTGGTATATGCTTCGGTATCTTGTAATTCAAATTACACTCGTTATGTGCTGCACCTCGATACTTACCTGTAAGATGGTCATGATCTAATACCTTATCACCATTCAACTCCTCATCACAAATATGACATCGTGTAGCTTTATCATAATTCATATTATCCTTGTCCGTCATATTAACCTTCTTATTGTAATGATATTTTTTATAGATATTTTTAACAGCATTTTCTATCGATTCTACAAATCTTTGACTAATATCCTCATCCTCTGACTTAGCTGTATATCTATACAATTTTGGTTTATATATACTATCATCATAACATTTTACCATATAACAATAACCAGATGGTTCATGTTTTTGGTATCGTTGAGTATATGATCTTTCATCATTTTGTTGGCATGTATCGATACTCTCTGTGAAGCATTCAAAATCTGCATAGATGGTAAAGGGAACTCGCATGGAGTGTTTATAATTGTTAAACGAGATTGTTGACCCCTTTTTTGGTAATGTAATTTTCACTGCATCATGGTTCTTACAGTATTCAATATGCTTATCTAAAGACTTTTTCGTTTTGAATGAGTTGAGACACCTTTCACAATAGTATCTACTATGCCCGTTATTATTAGTTTGAGAATTAATCAATCTAGACATACTTTTTATCCAACAAAAATGATTTACCTTTTCATTCGATATTAATAGGAGGTTTATTGTTTTTTCTCGATCGTTGTTTACACTTATTCTAATCGGATATACTTCTTTCTTTTCTTCATAACCGTATACATTGATTGCATATTTCGAGTTATTCTTTTCGAAGACTCCTATCTTATCTATTTGAACAGGGAATTCAATATCATCCCAACATAGTTTTTCACTATTATTCCTAAGAGATTTTGAAATCCTTTCTTGGTGCGCTTTTACTGGGAATATAGCTGTTGTAACCGCCCATTTGAAACATTGATTATCCTTATTAATAGGATTAACAATAGCCTCTTTACTCTTCAATTTTCCTGGTAATGGAATATAAGATTTTGCTGCTATAGGTTTATATTTATCTATATGAATATCTAAATTCTCCACTTTATTGAATATCCAACCCGATCCACTATTTTGGAAATTACTAATCTTTTCTAATATATCACCTGTCAATGTTCTATAAACATCTTCTATATCCGTAGCTTGTGTAATAATGACTATATTACTATGAAAATATCCAAATGTGTATACAATCTCTTTTTTCTCCTTTTTATAAAATGCACACTCTAGTACTAACTTCATTTTAATTGGCTTTTGCTGTTTTTTAACCGTTCTAATAACTATGGTCTTATACTTTTCTATAAACGATTTGGGATCAATCTTTTCCTCACCTTTTATTCTGTAAGACGATAAAAAACCCTTCATTGCTGACTCTTTCTTCTTCATGATTGCTTCCTTCTTCAAAGCTACTACCTGCTTCTTAATCCTATTGATATTCCTCTTATACCCATAATCATCTCTTGGTGTGTATTCTCTTTGCTTCACTGAGTACTTTTTATTCATTACTTTATCAAGATTAAGATATTCATCTGAATCTGAAACAATATCTTCACCCTCATCCACCTTATTATTATGGTAGATAGTATCTTCACCTAGGTATGTGTTATGTAATCCGCGATCTCTCGATAGATGTAAAACATCTGGTGTATCAAGATCATATTTCGACATATTATTATCCATTATATTATTATTAATCAGTTTATTCTTATATACTTTTTCCGAGGACATTTTCATTCTCTATATAATATACTAAAGATTTATTTCTTTAAGCCATTTTTATATAATCATTCCTCCAATATAAAAATCTTCATAATTCATCAATAAACCCAGGCACTATTTTAATCGGGAGTCTTAGCCTCAAAAAACCAGACACTATTTTAATCAGGGGTTATTACTCCAAAAAACCAGTCGAAAAATCTAATAGAGAATTTTGTCCCCGAATCGGCCAGTGCCCTCTACTTGCCCTGACTTAGAACAGCCCAGAGGTTGTTTCAGGGTTCGATCTGTGAGTTAGGCTGGCGTGTCCTGACTTAGATCTAACCAGTTTGTTTCAGGGTTCGATCTGTGAGTCACCCATGCCCTGACTTAGATCAGCCAAGAGGTTGTTTCAGGGTTCTATCTGTGAGTTAGGCGTGCCCTGACTTAGAACAGCCCAGAGGTCGTTTCAGGGTTCGACGATTCAGTATGAGTTGCCGTGCCCTGAATTATGATGAAAATGATCATTCGTTTGTTCGTTTGTTTGTTTTAACAGGTGTTAAGGTCACACATAAAACACGTGACCTACCTCGATATCCATCATGTCCGAGTGAGCGCTGTCCATGTCCCTGAACACACCCACTAGATCCCTTAATCCCATCAACGTAGTACAACGTCCTTGCAGCTTGTTGACCAGTTTGTCCCACTTAGTCATAATCACCTCTTCTCTGTGGAGTTTAAAACATACGAACGTTTACCTCAAAAGAACTGAGGTGGTCACTCCTCCTTGTTTACCACGAAGGGTGGTTACGTAACCCCTGGAACTCTCCCCTGCACACGCCCTTGCAAGATGATAATTTCTTTGTTTAAAAGTTGCACATGAGAAGACACATAAATATAGATGCAACTCAAACAGAGAGTCTTATTCTCGAGAGAATGACACGTGGTCTGAAATGGACTAAACATTACGCCCAAGTGGATTAGGTCCATTACCTTTTCCTAACAGCATCTGCTCGGTGATAATCTTCATCGATGAGTTCTTGCGCGAGATCAAACACCATTTGAAATCGTTCCTCCTAGAAATAGGACAAAACAAGAACGTGCATAAAACCATGCGTACACAGAAAACTACACAATTTGATAGTGTAACTACAATCTTCTGCAAAAATAATGTAAACTTTCCCCCCTTTCCCCCTAGCAATGTTGGTCAAGGAAGTTTTCTACACTGTGAAGCGGTTGGCTGGTAAAATGCATGTGAGACAATATTGCTACGGGGGGAGAGGGGGATGGTCCGCCTCCAGAATACTAGGTGACATATTTTATTTTGCAGAAGATTCTAGATTTACACAGAGTAACTTTCATCTCGGCTCTTTCTAGATCGAATTAGAATTTGGAAACCGATTTTTGCGGAGGGAGGAAAAACGGAGAACCCGGAGGAAAAACCCTCGAAGCACATGAGAACCAACAAGTACATGGAGAAAGTTTCTATTGTTTTGCAATTTGTACATCAATATGACTACCTTGTTACATGAGTGAAAACACTCTAAAGTGATTTTCATTAACCCGTGAAACAAAAGTTACTTATTAGATGGTAATAGCCAGATTCAAACAATAGAAAACAAAGGAGTTAGAGCGTAATAGTACTAAATACGTTAAAATGTATTTCACAGGTTTATGAAAATCACTCTATATACCCTGGCTTTGACGTCCGTGCTAATGGCTTCGTGTCTCTTTAGTGCTGCTTCTACTGTGGCTGCATCTTGAGCGAGTCGTTCTTCTTCTAAAACATGCATCATGTCATCCAGCCATGATTCGCGTAACGCGGCCTGATAAACAAAGACAAATGAAATAAAACTGGGGATTATGATAGCGTTGTTGCCGGCAATGCGGCGTAAAGTCGTACCAAAATAATTGGAACTGCGGAGGATTAGAGGATTAACATATTTAACTATCTACCTCAAGATATTGTTATTATATTGATGTTATTTAATTGACGGTTGTTGAAATGTTATTCGGCGAAAGAGAAATTGAACTTCGCAGGTCGCACTTTAATGATGTAATGGTGGTAATGCAGTTTTCTTTTTTCGTTTAAGTTATTTAAAAAACTTAGAGGATAGAAAATGAAAATATGCTTTGACCAAAGAAGCAGCAGACGCCATACAAAGTGTATCAATAAAGTTATACCTTTCTTTCAAACTTGTCAGCCATTTTCTCCAGCATTTCTTGTCTAAATGGAAGGGAAAATATAAAAAAGTATAAGCAAGTCAAAATTTAAACAAAAAACAAAATGCTAGGGATGTTTGAGATCCTAGAAAAGGACGAAATCTCTTATTTCCACGGAGAAACATCAATTAAATAAAGTAAAGGAAAGAACTTTTAAAAATGCTATGGGATTTTATCTGAGGACATAGTCTTATTGCGACGGGAAAACATGTAAACGAAGGAAAGCAAAGAAAAGGAAGAAAAAAAAAAAA